TTCCAGGGAAACAAATCCTTTGAAAGTGGTAGGAACCAGCTTCAGCAATTTGGAGAAAAACGTTCCAGCATGCAACTGAGCAAATCTCAGAACTTGAACCAGGGTGTTGAAAAAGATCAATGTCGTGAATGCAGGGGATTCGGTCACTTTCAAAAAGAATGTCCTAACTTCAAGAAGAAGAACAAGACGTTCAAGGCTACATGGTCTGTTCCAGTGATGACGAGGAGGGAGAATCTGAAAAGACTGAGAATTCTAACTACTCTAATAATTCTGCTAAATGTCTTCTTAATGAATATAATTGTTTTACTTCCTCTGTTCATCTCACTGATGTTGAATATGATGCAGGTTCTTATGCGAAAAACTTGAGCGAGGTGGACTCTGATGAATTCTCGGACCCAGCTGCCAAAAATCTTGTACTTCACAAGTACGCCATCGAAAAGTGTCTCAAGGCAAGGGATATCATCAACAAGTACCAAGCTCAAAACAGAAGATGAAGGCTATGGAACAACGTTCTGCCGAACGTGAAAAGGAGATTGACTATCTCCGGATCGAACTTCAGAAGATGAGGGTGATGACTGTTGATCTGAACGAGAAACTCATCAAATCAGACCTTCACATTGGAAAACAAGACAAGGACCTAAACAGCTGTTTCGCAAAACTTGCACTGGTTGAGCATGGGGATAAACTCAACAAACAGGATTCTCTTCGAGGTGTCCATCCGTGCCAATAAAAAACGGTGGTGGACAAAGAGAAAGGCCAGCTTGCAAAGTCTTGCAGGTGAAAGAGAAACTGAAATAGTTGTTCTCAAGGAGGAACTCGGGCGTGTAATGGAGGAACATGTGGAAATTCGGAGTCACTGTTCTACCCTTGAAGAAAGGCTTAGTAAGAGTGAAGAAGTTGTCCGAATGATCAACAAGCCAAGGGCATCATATGCTGAAGTTCAAAAACTGAGTCAGCAGATTGGTTCATCCAACCCAAGTAAGAATGTTCAGAACCAGAAACTGAAAGGGAAGGTTGGAGAATCAACCTCATCACTGAGTAAGGCTGATCTAACTTTCGTTAAAGAAAGATACTCAATTGACTCCAAGAAATGTAAGCCATACTCTCCAAACGCTCAGCACAAGAATACTGGTAAGAACTTTGTACCCGTTTGTCACTACTGTGGGATTCGCGGTCACATTCGTCCCAAGTGTTATAGAATGCATAATGATATATACACGGGTCGAATTAATGACTGGAGTCCTCATGGTGTTCCCCTGAAAGCACCTAAATTGAAAGTTGATATAGTAAATCATGAACAGAAAATGATCTGGGTTCCAAGGAACGTAAGAACGTCTGTCTGTCTTCCATACTTGCTTTGAAATCCATATCTAACTCTGAATGGTATTTTGATAGTGGATGCTCTCGTCATATGACAGGTTTGAGGTCTAACTTGACCAATATTATGCCTGTCTCTTCTAGTTCAGTAACTTTCGGTGATGGAGCAAAGAATAAGGTTCTTGGAGTAGGGTGCTTGAATGTTCTTGGTTTGCCCAGACTTAAAAATGTTCTTTTGGTTCAAAACTTGAAAGCCAATCTTCTGAGTATCAGTCAATTATGTGACCAGGGTTTGTATGTGAATTTTACTAAGACTCAGTGTCATGTGTCTGATCAAGAAAATAAACATGTTCTTACTGGTACTAGGTCCAGGGATAACTGTTATCTTGTGGAACTTGATTTGAAATGTAACAAAACCAGTATTGATTTGACTGAACTCTGGCATCAAAAGCTAGTTCACATTAATTATCCTCACCTGATTGAACTCTCTTCCACAGGGGCTGTTCGAGGATTGCCCAAGCTGAAGAAGGAAGAACCACGAGTTTGCAGATCATGTCAAATGGGCAAACAGAAAAGGGCTTCGCATAAGAGGTTGACAGAGGTCAGTACAAACCGTGTAATGGAACTGATCCACATGGACCTGATGGGACCAATTCAAGTCGAAAGCTACGGTGGTAAGAAGTATATTCTAGTCTGTGTGGATGATTTTTCTAGATTTTCTTGGGTTGACTTTCATAAAGATAAGTCTGAAGCACTTGATGCTTTCAAAAAACTCGTGTTAAAACTTTAAAATGAAAAACAAACCAACCTCGTGGCAATCAGGAGTGACCATGGTAAGGAATTTGAGAACCGTGGTTTTGAGTTATTTTGTGAATCACGTGGTATATTTCACCAGTTTTCTTCCCCCATCACTCCACAGCAGAATGGAGTTGTGGAGCGTAAGAACATGACCCTTCAAGAAATGGAAAGAGTAATGCTTGTGTCGCAGGGTATGTCCTTAAGATGGTGGGCAGAGGCGGTGAACACGACATGTTATATAATTAACCGTGTGTATTGCAGGAAGGGAACCAGATTAACTTCATATGAAATGTGGAAAGGTAAAGCACCAAATGTGAAATATTTTCACATCTTTGGGTGCAAGTGCTACATCTACAATGACAGAAACACCTTGGTAAGTTTGAGTCCAAGAGTGATGTAGGTCAGTTCCTTGGTTACTCTGCTAACAGCCGTGTGTGTATAATTTGCGCACTGAGGTGGTTATGGAATCTATAAATGTTGTTTTTGATGATGCTCTTGAATGTGCTGTTGTACCTGATGTGATCAACATAGATGTGTCCAGTGGTTAGAAGTTGTCAAATTCTGAAACTGTGAATGTGCTAAATGATGTTAAGTCTGAAACCCTTGAACATGATAAAACTGTGGAATCTAATGAATATGCTGTTCCAACGTCCTCCGGAAATTCTGATGAATCTCGGCGA